CCCCCCCCCCCCCCAAAAAAAAAAATAAAAAAATAAAAATTGCCTGGGTACTTAGCTGCGCCTTCATGAAAAAAATATTTTCGTTATACAAAATAAAAGAAGAGATGACTTTTAAAGGCTTATATATTATTTCGCATGATGATAAAAGCTTGAACCATAAAACTGAATCTTAAGGAAACAACTGAATATATGGTGCCTGGCGCAAACTTTGGAACGATGCGAGTATCTGGTGCTAGAAATAAGACACAACAAGTCATAAACTTCTATTTGTAATACCATACATATTAAACGACAAGTCTATAGATTAAGGTCAATCATGTTTTCGTCTTAGAGCCATCATAACATGCCCTTCTTATTAACAGAATCATAAATTACGGCCTGCGGGCCAGATCCGGCCCACCAGGGGTTCTTAAACCAGCAAAACTGGCCGCCGTGGGGAACCCGGGTATTAAAGTTCTGAACTGGTACCCCTGAAAATACCCATAACGGTGCTGAAGTCGGCCATACACGGCAAGTTGCATTTTTTCTATTGTCGAGAGATTTTTACATAGAAGGCTGATTTACAATTACTAGAAGACTGAAGACCAAAGGGAAACTTGAACCGTAGCAAAAAATTGCTGAAAACCCACTAAACACTAAAGCTCTCCGGAAAACATACCGACCATCAAAGGATGAATATGGATGGAGAATGCGAACCAACCATGAATTGTACAGTCTATATCAGAATCCTACTCTCCTAGCAGAAATTTTAAAAAGGGCAAGCTACGATGGACGGGACACTTAGAAAGAACTCCAGATGACAGAGGAAGGAAGAGGGTTACCAACAAAACCCCAGAGGAAAACGGCAGACCTAGGCTTAGATGGATGAATGATGTGGAAGAAGATCTGCGGCAGCTGGGATTCCAAGCATGGAAAAGAAAAGCATTAGTTAGGTCTGAGTGGTTGGAAGTAGTGAGGCTGTCCAAAGCCCTACAAGGGGCTGTAGCGACACAGGGTTGGATGGATAGGTCTGAGTGGAAGGAAGGAGTGAGGCTGGCCAAAGCCCTACATGGGCTGTAGCGACACAGGGTTGGATGGATAGGTCTGAGTGGAAGGAAGTAGTGAGGCTGGCCAAAGCCCTACAAGGGGCTGTAGCGATACAGGGTTGGATGGATAAGTCTGAGTGGAATGAAGTAGTGAGGCTTGCCAAAGCCCTACATGGGCTGTAGCGCCACAGGCTTGGATGGATAAGTCTGAGTGGAATGAAGTAGTGAGGCTGGCCAAAGCCCTACATGGGCTGTAGCGACACAGGGTTGGATGGATAGGTCTGAGTGGAAGGAAGTAGTGAGGCTGGCCAAAGCCCTACAAGGGGCTGTAGCGATACAGGGTTGGATGGATAAGTCTGAGTGGAATGAAGTAGTGAGGCTTGCCAAAGCCCTACATGGGCTGTAGCGCCACAGGCTTGGATGGATAAGTCTGAGTGGAATGAAGTAGTGAGGCTGGCCAAAGCCCTACATGGGCTGTAGCGACACAGGGTTGGATGGATAGGTCTGAGTGGAAGGAAGTAGTGAGGCTGGCCAAAGCCCTACAAGGGGCTGTAGCGATACAGGGTTGGATGGATAAGTCTGAGTGGAAGGAAGTAGTGAGGCTGGCCAAAGCCCTACATGGGCTGTAGCGATACAGGGTTGGATGGATAAGTCTAAGTGGAATGAAGTAGTGAGGCTGGCCAAAGCCCTACAAGGGGCTGTAGCGATACAGGGTTGGATGGATAGGTCTGAGTGGAAGGAAGTAGTGAGGCTGGCCAAAGCCCTACATGGGCTGTAGCGATACAGGGTTGGATGGATAGGTCTGAGTGGAAGGAAGTAGTGAGGCTGGCCAAAGCCCTACAGGGGCTGTAGCGACACAGGGTTGGATGGATAAGTCTGAGTGGAAGGAAGTAGTGAGGCTGGCCAAAGCCCTACAAGGGATTGTAGCGACACAGGGTTGGATGGATAAGTCTGAGTGGAAGGAAGTAGTGAGGCTGGCCAAAGCCCTACAAGGGGCTGTAGCGCCACAGGGTTGGATGGATAAGTCTGAGTGGAAGGAAGTAGTGAGGCTGGCCAAAGCCCTACAAGGGGCTGTAGCGATACAGGGTTGGATGGATAAGTCTGAGTGGAAGGAAGTAGTGAGGCTGGCCAAAGCCCTACAAGGGGCTGTAGCGCCACAGGGTTGGATGGATAAGTCTAAGTGGAATGAAGTAGTGAGGCTGGCCAAAGCCCTACATGGGGCTGTAGCGCCACAGGGTTGGATGGATAAGTCTAAGTGGAAGGAAGTAGTGAGGCTGGCCAAAGCCCTACAAGGGGCTGTAGCGCCACAGGGTTTGATGGATAAGTCTGAGTGGAAGGAAGTAGTGAGGCTGGCCAAAGCCCTACAAGGGGCTGTAGCGACACAGGGTTGGATGGATAAAGATTGACGTTTATCTTATGAAAAGTTTTGACTATTTTTCGTTGACACTCGACAAAATATGTTTATGATTCTGGACAAATTGAGAATTTCATTCGTTGGACATAATGATTATTTCATTCGTTGAACATATGATTATTTCATTCGTTGGACATATGATTATTTCATTCGTTGGACATACGATTATTTCATTCGTTGGACACATGATTATTTCATTCGTTGAACATATGATTATTTCATTCGTTGGACATATGATTATTTCATTCGATGGCCATATGATTATTTCATTCGTTGGACACATGATTAATTCAAAGTCAGGGGGAGTTCGCTGCACTCAGAGGCATCAAAGGGAGCACAACAAAGGGAATAACTATGAAAAGATTGGCCAAACTATGAATAATTTGGAGCTATACCGCACTAAACTTAGCTCCTGGCATGTTGGAGTGGTTGCACGCATTAACCAAGAGATTAGAAAACACAATCATTCGCATCCAATAGCCTCAACCAATAGCCATAAACTGTTTCATCCAGAAGCTAATACACTGTCTTATCCAATTGCTTACACACTGGCTCATCCAATAGCTAAAACACTGGCTCATCCAATAGCTCACACACTGGGTCATACAATAGCTAACACACTGGCTCATCCAATAACTTACACACTGCCTCATCCCATAGCTAACAACTTGGCTCATCTAATAGCTAGCACACTGGCTCATCCAATAGCTAACACACTGGCTCATCCAATGGCTAACACACTGGCTCATCCAATGGCTAACACACTGGCTCATCCAATAGCTAACACACTGGCTCATCCAATAGCTAACACACTGGCTCATCCAATAGCTAACACACTGGCTCACCAACTAACAAAAAATGTTTGGATTCAGGGGAAATCTTCAAACATAAGTTTCAAATAAGTTTCAAAGATCTTCATCTTCGTACAGCTGCTGCGGACGCCATTTTCTGTTTACACCTGAAGTTGGTGGTCCACTTTACCAAATGATACCGACCGAGCTGCATACATGTGGCTCCCTGGGTGAAAGACGCATTCTAACGGCCTGACTAGTTCCAGTGCATCTCCCCTCTCTGAGATCTATCTCAGTGTCAGTAACCGTGTAGTACAAAATGGCCAACATATTTGGCTGCACGCATTTGAAACTTCTGAAATCTCGAACCGGATCCGGACTAACTGATGCACCCACATATCACTTATGACGACTGGCAGTGAAAAACATAGAACTGGACATTGACCCTCTCATCTGCTAAAAGCATATCACTTATTACGACTGGCAGTGAAAAACATAGAACTGGACATTGACCCTCTCATCTGCTAAAAGCATATCACTTATTACGACTGGCAGTGAAAAACATAGAACTGGACATTGACCCTCTCATCTGCT